AATTCCTACAAAAGAAGACTGTTTCCACCCCATAACCTATGCCTTTTATGTAATGAGACCAGCTCAGGAAAGTGTTGCCAGATCTCAACTACATTACAGGTACTACAATCTGTAAGAGGATTAATCTGAAAAAGTGTGCTTTGGGGACAAGGGAGGTACATACAGAAACACAACATACATGTAAAGAGGAGAAAATATGCTTCATACAAAAAATAATATCTAAACAAGAAATAAAACATCCCAGATGGAGGGAAGACCTCTTCCAGGCCTTGACTGCCCCCAGCGGCAAGTGTGTGAAGTAAGTAAGGGGACCTAACGGATGGTCTATGTATAAACTCATGCTAAGTATTGAAACTGACATACAGGCTGTGTACATGCATTCAAAACTCTCCCAGACTTGTTTTACTGAGACAAAAAATGACCCGTACAGAAGCTAAAACAGAGAAGAAAAGAGCCTGCAGTGCAGATGGACAGTGAGCTGCCAGAGGTCCCTAGAGTAGACAGCCTAAAGAGCTCTACAGGCGTTTTTTTCCTGTGAGTGTAGGCAGAGATCCTCAGGGCCAGGGAAGGTAGAGGCAGGTAGAGGACTCTCAGGTTGTGCAGAGAGTCCTCCAGCTTTCTCCTCCCCTGCACTGTATTCCAGCCCAGCTGTGCCTGGGCAGGCAGAATGCTTGTATGCTTCCAGGCACCCAAGTGCTGCAGTGTGATTCAGGCAGGGAACAAGCCAGAAGCAGAACATACTCTCTAAGCACTTCAGTACTGGGCTTTTCCACCCTGAAGCACTCAGGGAGCATGGTTCTTCTCTCTGCTTAGCTGGGACTGACACACTCTCTCCCCCACTGTGGGAGAGGGAGAGAGAAAGCAGCAAAGCACACTGGCTACCTGTACAGAAGTTTTATCTCCTGAGAGAGATTCTCCAGGCAGTCACTTCCCCTCACGTTGTCCCCAAGTTATTTTTTCCCCCACAGCGGCCACATTTAGTCTGCGAGAAAAGTTACAAATGTCTGCATACTTGTGGGACTCTCCCCAGAGAAACTGAATGTTGTCCAAGGCCTCAGTTACTTTGGTTCTGGCTTGCATGCTGGCAAGCCCTAAGTCTTTTATTACCCTTCATCCTATTTTCTGGAAAAGAAATTACAATTAGGTTCTAGAGAGGAGAGATGTTACAGCAGCTCACCAAAAGCTGTGCCAGTCAACACCAACTACACAGCACAGAAAAGAAGTCAGCCAGATCTGAGCTTGGGCTCAAATTAACAAAAGACTTCTTAATTTGTGCCTTTCCTATGACTTTGTTTTCATGAAGGAAAAATAAAGTAGGGCTGGAAGGGATCCCACAAGGTCATCTAGTCCAGCCTCCTCCTCAAGGCAGGATCATCTCTGACTAAAACAGCCTGGTCAAGTGTCTGTCTAACCTGCTCCTGAAAATTTTCAGGCAGCCTGTTCTAATGCTTAACCACCCTCATAGTCAGAAAGTTTTTCCTCATCTCCAATCTAAATTTCTTCTGCTGAAGTCTGAAGCCATTACTCCTAGTCCTGTTCCCTACAGCCACAGAGAAAAGTCTAATTCTATATTCTTTATACTTGACTTTCAGATATCTGAAGAATTACCAAGTCTACCCTCTTGTCTTCTCTTCTCCAAACTAAACAGACCTAGTTCTTTCACAGCCTTTCCTCATGAGTTACATTTTCCAGGCCTCTAATAATTGTTTTTGGCTTCCCACTGGACTCTTTCCAATCTGTAGAGCATTTCTGGAGAACAGCAACCAGTAAAAAACCTCAAGTTAAGGGCATAGTATTAATGAAAGAAACAAAAGCCCTGGCCCTTGAAATAAGGATTTATTACATCCTCAAACTTTGGAGGCCACTGATAAGTAGAAGTGTAGCCTGAACTCTAAGCAGAAGCTTTACAAATGGGAAACACTTTGAAGTAAGCCACAGTGAAGTTTAGTGGAATGGGCTGCCAGTCTGATACTGAATTTTCTACCAGTCCACAGCAGAGCTGGATATATAATAAGCTATTCATTTAGGTAACCTCTGAGCATGATTCTCTTCCAGAATTCAGTACAATTAGGCTTTTATCCCAAATGGCTGCGTCTTCTCCAAGTAATATCAGAGAACTTGTATAACTTCTTATTTGAGAAGGCTGACCTCCATAGGAAAATTATATGGTTTCAGGGAAACAAACAAACACTGGTAGAAGAGCAAACTTATCCAAGTGAAACTAAAATCACCTTCAGCAAGAACTGAGGATGAGGACATAGAGCTATACTGTGTCTTTGAAGCAGCCCAGAGCACTCACTTCATTCAGTTTTAATGTGGGAATTAATTTGATCATTACAAGGTAGGTCCAAGAAACATGACTAGCAAGTAGTTGGTGAGTACAGGGGAAGTAGGTCTTTGCAAATCACTTCATAACAGAAGTTCCGCAACTGGCTACACTTACAAGGATGGCTAACCTAGAAGGCTTCGAGGGTGGCTACACTTAGTGGGCAAAATGTCTGAGACTACTGTGGGACTCAATTAACTGACTTATGAGAGAGACAAGTACCTAGAGTAGTGCTTCCCAACCTTTTCCGCCCATGAAGTTCATAGGCTCATCTACGAAAGATGTTTTGTAAGTTCCCTTTGAGGATTAGAACTGAGAGGTAATTGGGTATTTTGGTCTTTGATAGATTTCTGGTGTGCATTAATTCTGGTGTGCAGTTGTTGCTTGGTTTCTCCTACATATATTTTGAAGTGAAGTTCATATGACAAGCCTATGAATTTCACTTCATCAACCTACTGAATACTGAAAACCATGGACTCAATATAGACATTGAATTTATGACACATTACAACCTGTCTGACATCTGATTCACATGGTACCTGCCTGACCTGACCCCTTACATTCCTTCTCCCCCGCCCCTTTTCTCCTCTCTCCTCCCCCACTTGGCTCTGTCTCCTTTTTCTTCCTGGTTCTCTACCATTTCCTTTTTATTGTTAGCCTCTTTTTTACCTTGTATTATTACCTCTGCAGTTTTTCCTTTGGCCTTTTTGTCCTGTTTTCTTCCCCTGCTTTACCTTTTGTTTTCCAACATCTATCCTTTTATATTTTCACTGACATCCTGTCACACTTTTAGCTTCTCCCATTCCTTGAAGTCTCAGAACAGCAGACTCGCTCCTGATCTCCAACTATTCCCCTTTTCACAGACTGCCTCTTTTTCACCTTGTATTTTATCTCTGTTACCTCCCTCTGACTTTTTTCCCCCCTGCTCTCTTCCTCCTCCCTGCTTTTCCTTTTGTCTTGCTTATCTCTACCTATTTACATTTTCACTGACATCCCTCCACACATTTAGCTTCTCTCATTCCTTGGAGTCTCAGAACAGCAGTAACTCCCCATGCAGTCACAAAGGGTGACTGCACCTGAAAGCTTGCCAAGAACTTTTTTCCAACTACTCAGTTGGTCTAATAAAAGATATCACATCTACCCAAAGAACCTTGCCTGCCAATGTCCTTAGACCGACACAGCTACAATCAAAAACCCAGCAACATGCCATTGTGTATGCACCCAAGGAATGCTATTTTGAACAGCAAAACTTGGGTAAGTTGGAAACTAGTATGTGGTGAACCCCAGCCACAACAAATCACCATATTGCTGGCAAATAGTTAGAGACTGCATCTGTTAACTTGTTTTTAAGTTGATTGACCTTCAGTCTAAATTTAAGAATATGCAGTGACTCAACTAGCAGATTAGACAGGAAATTCTACAGTGATAAAGCACCAGAATCCTCTCTCTGACATTTCAGGATTGGTTCAGAGAACTTGACTTTTGAGTTAGGTATGTGCACAAGGCAGCTGCACAAGCTCTCAGCTGCTTTGTCAAGATGTGGAATTCCATTTCTGATACCACAGTTGAATCTTTGCAGAACCAGAATAGGCCACCATTTCTTTTCTTTCTTTCTTTTTTTTTTTTAAGACTCATCCTTTAAAAGGTGTTGGAAACTTATAAACCCCCTTTCCACCCAAAAGTCTTTTTGAAAAGTGAAAGGTGTGTTTGCATACAGCATCACATAGAACTAAATATTATAACATCTCATCCCACACCTTCATATTATAGTCAAAAGTACCCATTTTCATAATTTATCCTCTACGTACAGTCGATAACTACAAAACCTTTTCCAAACTTCTGTTATAAGCCATGGAAACTACTACATTCATTCCACTCTCCCTAGGCAGAGTAGAGACATTTGTCATCTTACTCATCCTCTTGCCATGGGTCTACAACCTTACTAACCCCTTAAAATCAGAGTTGCAGAGTTTATGCTCATACCCAATACAAAGAGAAGGAACTGAAACAGGCAAACAAGGTACTTATTAATTTATATGAATATTGAAAATTTGTAAATATGGATTTGTATAGGTTGCATTCTGGTTTGCTGCAAAGAGCAGAGAGCAACAAGATAGTGTTAAAAAGTGTAAAATGTTAATCCCAAATTCCAGGTTTCAAATACAGAGGTTTAAATTGTGAAATACTTATGCAGCTTAAAAACAGCAGAAAGTTTCAGTTTTAGTAACTTAAAGGGCACTTTTTAGAGAAATATATATCAAATATATAAATATATATACACTTCTTTAAAAAAGCTTGAATTGATTAAAATAATCACTGCAATGTTTTTAGACTCAACACTACTGGGGGATGATTTATAGCTGGGTAGCAGTGCCCCATGAAGTAAGAGAACCTGTCTGCCTATTATAACGTTTCCTCCTTGGCCTCTCTTTTTCCTGTATGATTTCTTTTATCCCAAAGGCAGCTGAGATGCTTGCAACAACATTTCTCTACTTGCTTATGATGGTTCTACATTTTTACCTTGGCATGCTTTCCAGTTCCTCCCCCGTGTAAGTTAAAGAATTGCACTATACTGATGAGTTTTACTTATGTGAATCCTGAAGGAAAATGATGAAAGGGAACCACAAACATGATAGGAAGTCAAGAGGCCACAGGAAAAATCAAAATACTTTACCATGAACATGAGACTGCTGAAAGCTCTTTCCTGGTGCAAAGTGAAAGTTCCCAGCTACCTGAAGGAAATAGTCACTATTCATTATAAGACTCCTTATGTATATAACAAGTCAAACAATAACATTTACTGTATCATTTTTAAAGGTGTATGCCCTCCCTCCCATGGTTGTTTCCATGCTGTCAGCCAGAAATGAATCTGCTCTTCCCCAAAGAACCCTCATTTGGAAAATAAAACTAGCACTACTAGTCAGAAATGTGTAAAGGACATATGTGAAACACCCAACACGCAGGCTACTGTTTCAAACATTTATGCATTCATATTCTACCCTTTATGGATAACCTTTAAAGTTCAAATAAATGAAACCAATGCAGTGTAGGTTTGAATCTGAAGTCAAAAACAATACCTCTGAGAGAAATAAACATCCCAATCCCTCCTTGATCTCACTGGAATATTATTACTGATAGGCAAAACTTTATGTACATATCAACACTAACTACTGCAATATTGATCATTTTAGCGGACAAGACAATGGGAAAGAAGCAGGAAT